AGGACTGATTCTCTGTAAAGACAACTGATCTAAGAGATGCCTTTTTTTTTAAAAAAACATTTGGTTGAAACTCTTTCTTTATAATCATCTAAAGTGAGATATTTATTAATTTCTGACCAAAGTAGTCCAAGAAATTGATTAGACATCTTCTTTCAATTTTTCCACAGATTGCTTCTTATTAATAAAGTTAATTTACCATAGACCCGATGAGATTGTTAGGCCATTGGAGCATGATACCTGTGGCATAGGCTATAATTTAAGAAAGTTTCTCTCAATCACTTCATGCAGGGGGAGGGAAACAAAACTATAAGAGAAGTTACTGATGCATTGGAGTTCATAATTTTTCTTTTTTAGCAAAATGAACTATTCATGTATCTTTTATAAATAAAATATTGCAGAGAAGATGCACAAAGAAAACTAGAAAAAATATCCAAAATGGTCAAAGGAGGGATACAATAGGGTGGGAGGTACTTATGATATAATAATAAATGGGGGGAAAAAGAAAGAGAACTTCAACTTTTCATTGTCTGTGACAACAAATATGCAAATGCACACATATATGGAAAAAATCAGGAAGAAGACCTGATGCTAAGACCTCCTTTGTGTTGAGGTGTTGGGATTTGGGGTGACTTTTTTCTCCTCTGTACTATCCACATCTGGTGTGATGTATTTGCTCTTTTCCACTTGTTATGGATGCAGTTGAAGGCCCCTTTGTTTCACTCCATGGTTCCATTTCCCTTCTCCCTTCCCAGAGGCAACTCTGATCCCAGATTTAGGAGTGTATCCATTTAGTATATCCTTATACTTGAACTACAAAGTCATATATGTTAAAGATATAGCATTTAAAATTTTTGCATAGATAGCATCTTTATCCTTCTGCAACTTGTTTTTTTACTAAAGATGTGTTTTCCTATTCTAGCAATGGTGATATAATCTACATTATAATTGCTGTATTTTATCTCATCATATGAACATGTCACAATTTGTTTATGCATTCCCTTACTGAGGAATGTGTCAGTTGTTTTAAATTTTCACCATTTCAAATAATGCTGCAGTAATTATTCTCCTATGTTTCTAAGTGAATATAAGCAAGTTACTCAAAGCTATTTATTTAGAAGTAGAATTGCTAAATACTACTACATGAATAACTTCAGTGTTACTAGATACTGAAAAATGATTCTCCAAAATGCAATAGTTGTGAGAACTCACTCTCTCAAAGCAGTATAAAGATTTCCTTTTTCTCTATATTCTTGCCAAACAAGGTATTATTTTCAAACTGGGATTCTTGCTAATCTGGTGGGTGTGAACTAAATTCTTATTATCTTGATTTCCATCTCCCTGTTTACTATGAGGTGAGGAGTTGACTTTTATAAGCTCTTCAATTTTACTCTTTTGTGATGTCTGTCATATGTTTTTGTCCAATATTCTGTGAGTTTATTTGTCTTTTTCTTATTGCTGAAGTTCCTGATAGAGCTCAGATATTAAATTTATTTGTTACACTTTACCATTAAGTATAATATTTGTCGGAAGGTATTCTAATTAGGAAAGTTCATCTTCGTGGAATGCTTTTTTTGCATCTGTTAAAATAATCTTTTTTTCCTCTTTTATTAAAACAATATGATTAATTGCAATGATAGATTTTCTGATATTGAGCCTCCCCTGAAGTCTTGAAATAAATTTTAGTTGTTCTTGAGTTATTTTTAATACTGATTAATTCAGTTTTTCAGTATTTTATTTAGTCAATTTGGGCTAAAATCTCTTAAGTGAGATCAGGCTGTATTTCCTCTTATTGTTGTAGTTTTCATATCAAAATTATATTACCCTCTTAAAATGAGAAGAGTAGCTTCTCCTCTTTCTGTTCTCGGAAACTATTCGTTAAAACTTACCTATAAGGGTGGGCATGATGGCTCATGCTGTAGTCCTAGCACTTTGGGAGGCCAAGGTGGGAGGATCATTTGAGGCCAGGAGTTTGAGGCTGCAGTGAGCTATAATAACATAATTGCACTCTGGCATGGGCAACAGAGCAAGATCTTGTCTCTAAAAAAAAAATAAATTAAAACTTGCCTGTAAAACTAGTTGGTAGAGAACAAGAAGAGAAGGCGGGTTGGGGGTGGACATGGGTGGAGGGAAGAATGGGAGGTATACTATTGATTCAAGTTCCTTAATGATTTATTTGCCTATTAGTTTTTCTGTTTCTTTTTTAGTCAGTGTGGTAATTTGATATTTCTCTATAAATTTGCCAATTTTCTCTAAATTTTCAAATTTTTTGGCAGACAGTTGATCATAACATTTTTAGATTTTTGAAAACCTAAAACTATCTCTAGATTTTTCTCATTTCTCTAATTTGTGTGTATGTGTATATGCACACATGCATACCTTTTCTCATGTTCTTTATCAGTCATGCTAAAGTATGGTCTAATATTAATACACCTACCTCAGTTTTCTTTTGGTAGTATTTGGTTTGTATCTCTTCCTCCATCCTTTCATCTGGAACTTTTGGTTCATCTGCTTCTTTTAGTAGCATTAGCTCTTTTTTAAAAAAGTATCCAGTCAAATACTCTCTATTTTATTGGAGTGGGTTAAGCTAAGTCCATTTATTGCAATTCTTGATCTATTTGAACTTTTTCTCCATTATAATTTACTATGTAATTTCTATACTTGCTTTTTTATTCTTTTTTTTTTAATATTTAAGCTTTGCCATTGCATATTCCCCTTCTACCAGTTGAGAAGTTAAATATTCTATTTCTGTTCCTTTTAGTGGTTACAATTAAATTTTTACATCTACAATTAGCAAAGTCTAATGTTAATCAAAATTTCTATCCTGCTCCTAAGTAATACAAAGACCTGAGAATAATTCCCATAGCCCTCTTCCACTATCTTCTATATTATTATTTAATATTTTAATTTTATCTTAAACTTCTACAAATTAGTAAGTTTTTCCAGGCAACATTTATATTTATCAATAGCTTTATTAATTTCTTTGTTTACCATTGTTTATTATATCTTACTTCATTACTAGTACAATTTCTTTGGACTGAAATATGTCATTTTGATGTATTTAAGCAAAGGTCTGTGAGGAGCAAACACACATACTTGCATCCTGAAAATGTCTTTGGTTCTCCCTCATCCCTGAATGGCAATTTAGCTGGAATAGAATTTTATATTGACAACTTTCTTTCCTCAGTGTTTTAAGATGCTATCCACAATCTCCACCATCTATTGTGCTAATAAAAAATCCATTGCCAGTCTGATTTCTGTTCTGTAGCAGATGATGTCTTTTCTCTCACATAGATTATGCACTTTTTTCTTTGACTTAGGTTTATTTACCACAAACTGTGTAAGTGTGGATTTATTGTTATTTCTTGTATTGAAGTTGCTTAAAGCAAAGGATTCATGTCCCTTTTCAATTTTAGAGAAGTCTCAGCTATTATGACTTGAATATGGACTCCTTTCATCATTCTCTTTCTTCTTTCCTTTTAGATCTCTGGAGTGTATATATGTGGGCCTTCTCAGTCTGTCCTCCATATCGCTCAAATTTTTAAATATTTTCTATCTGTTAGTCTTTCCATGCTCCGTTCTGGATAATTTCCTTAGATCTAAATAATTCACCAATTCCTCCTCCTGCTGTCTAATTACTTTCCAACCTCTACATTAATTTTTTTTATTTCAAAGAATTGCATTTATGATTTCTATAACTCCTTTCTCTTGTCCCCAAATCTACAGGCTTTTTTCCCTCAATCTCTTGCTTTTACCTAATAGCTTTCATTCCTTACTTTATTTCTTTGAACACTTAAACACACTTATATTAAATTCACTTTCATGTTATGCTATTATTTAATTCCCCTATTAGTTATATCTTCTGAATATCTTATTATGGCTTATCTCCTTGTGTGATTTTAAGCTTTTTTATTTGTTTGTTTTAGAGACAAAGTCTCACTCTGTCACCCACGCTGGAGTGCGGTGGCATGATCATTGCTCACTACAGCCTCAAACTCCTGGGCCCAAGGGAACCTCCTGCCTCAGCCTCCTAGGTCGCTGGGTGCTCACCACCCACCTGGCTAAGGTTTTCTATTTTTTTATAGAGAAAAGGTCTCGCCATGTTGCTCAGGCTGGTCTTGAACTCTCGGCCTCAAGCAATCCTCCTGCTTTAGCCTCCCAAAATGCTAGGATTACAGACATGAGCCACCGTGCCTGGTGGTTTTCAGTTTTTAACTATCATCTTGTTTTGAGTGGGCATTGTTTTCTTTGGAAACCATAGATGCCATGGGTTGTGAAAGCGTCTTTACAGAATGATTTCAGATTTGCCTTTACACGGGGATTTGGATTTCAAATACCCGTTTTGGCTTTGTGTCTCTGAAATACGAAGATCGTATGAATTTAAACCCCACATCTGTGCTTGGTGCCAGGTTGTCAAGTTTCTGATTTTTCACAGGTGACTCTTTCAGCCACTATGGCCATCGTGAAATAGCAGGCTTCCCTGCTCATTCCCCAGGAGAGCAGGCAGATATTTTTTAGAACTTGTTTTACAGATAGGACAGCATACTGTGACTCTGGACTTTTTGCTCATGGCTTAGTTTCAGCTTCCCAATTAGACAAGTCTTATGGCTCAGACTTACCTTCTGACTCAGACATTAAATCCCCAGATGCCTGGTCAGTAAGATCTCTCTTTATTTGGTCTCAATTTCCCTTTGAGTCTCCTGACTGCAATTCTCACTTGCATCTTTAATTGTGAGTTTCCTCTCTATGTGTGGCACCTGGGAATTTTCCTCTGCTGTTTTCTTTGTGAGCTCTGTAATCTTTGCACAATTCTTTGCACTGTGATATTTCACCCAGAATTCCTACATGTTTAGAGCAGGGGTGATGTGCCTTCCGTACTGCTTAGGTCACCGTATTGGCCAGACTATATTACTTCTCTAATAAGGAAAAAATACCAAAAGCTTTAAAATGTGTTTAAAGAAATGTTATATTTTAAGTAACCTTTTCTTCTCCATGCTTCTCAGTGCTGAATTTGAAGAACCACATAATTATGAAGCAACAATTTCATATATGAGACACTCTGGCAACTCCATTAACCTGTGCACTGCAGAAGAAATTGCTGATTGTAAGTGTGCTAAGCCAATTAATACCGTGGCCCTGTGTGGAATGAAAATGTGTCAAAAATGGTATTTTCCCTCTAGCTAACTATAGGTTTAAAAATTCACAGCCATTCTGCTCTACCACCTCATTTTTTTTTTTCTATGTCTGGTCTCTTAAAAATATAAATAAATCCAGCTGGGCATCAGTGCTATCTCATGACTCCTACTGCTGCCTTCTCTACCTCTTCTTTTCTTTCCTTCACCGATAGACTTAGCTGCTTTGCCTTTTGTAGATATGTGGGAGGGAAAATCAAGATATGGCGATTAATTTTTCTTGCTTCTCTTCCTTTAGAAACTTCATCTCTCTTCTCGTGGTTTCTTTCTTGAAGTCCCCTGGTTACTCTGTGTGTGGAGAGGGAGATAACAGACCACGAGAATTAGGCCCCTGTGTTCAGTCTGAATAGGAGCAGGGGATTTATTTAATGGATCTGACCACTGGCTCAGAGCTAAGTCTTCCTGTCTCTGGTATTGCCGACAATGCTCAGACCTTTTTGTGAAAAAAGAGAGCCTCTCAGGTAAAAAAGTGAAGAAGCAGGGACTCACTGCACATTTCGATGTCTTTGTTCTGCCTGTACAATCAGCCAGTTCCCCACAAAAGGCATAACTATTAGTGCTAGAGTAAGCACTAGTATTTATTGAGCCTGTACTATGGGCCACAGTTCTGTGTTAGGTTGTCTAAGCACATCCCTGCTGATAGAGTGGGTTTACCAGCCCACTGTTAGAGACAGGAAACTGAAGATCAATGAGATTGAGTTGCACAAGGTCATGCAAGTAATATGCAGAAGAGCTATAATGTGAAACAGGCTCAGCCTGCCTCTAAAATCCATGCTCTTTCCACAATTTTATGCTGCTTCTCATTCAAGGAAGTTTGGCTTCCCTGGAAGGAAGGTTAAAAAGAGATCATCTGGTCCAACCACTGTTACACAGACAAGAAGGACAAAGTTCTGGGGAAGAAAGTCGTTTTCCTGGGAATACATACTTATGAAGTTCATGAGGTACGAATCAGGGCCTATTGAAATTTCCTTCTCCTCCCTCCCCAAGAAATAAGAGGTTAGAAAACTATTGGAAAAACTCCCTCTCTCCTAGACTAGGCAAAGTCTAGATTCTCCCGTTTGGTTGTAAAATACTGACAGCAATTCCTGCCCCGTCTCCCAGGAGGCAAGGCTGCCCTGTACTCAGAGTATCCAGGCCCCGCTTTAGGGCAGGGCTTCTCAAGTTCTAATGTTCACACAGGTCACCTGGGGATCTTGTGAAGGGTAGATTCTGGTCCGGTAGCTCTGGAGTGTGGTCTGCGATTCTGCATTTCTAAGAAGTTCCCCAGTGATGCCAATGCTGCTGGTCTACAGACCACACTTTGAAGAGAGAGTCTGCAGGCCCCACTTGGGCCAAATTCCAACTGCATTCCTTTCTAAAAGGCTGAGAGCAAGGCCAGGGTGAGGCTCCTATCAGAGTCTGCACCTTCCCTCTCGGGACCACATGAGACGCCCAGAATCCAGTCCCATGCAAATGGCTCCCCAAGATCCTGCTTGGGTTCCCTCCCTGAGTCCTCCTTCCTCAGAATAGATTGGGCTGCAGGGAGAGAGCTGTTTGTAGGGGCTGGTGTCAATGGGGTTTGGTCCCTCATGGTGTAGGGTGGAGCTGAGGATTAAGTATAGAAGCTGGACTGAGGCCTGCATTTGTTCTCTCCAGGCCACAAATTTTAAAGGCGAACCTGCCAGGAAGCATTGTTTATGGTACCCAAAGGAGGAACCACTAACCCAGGTCTCTCTTCAGATTTTGACTGAAGGATCCTTTGTGTGCTTCATGGATAGTGCTGCCAAGGAGACAAATGCTTATGACTGAAAAGAGAAAAGGCTCAGAAAACAAGCCAGTGATGCAATTGAGAGATGACAGAGCACAGGCCAACAGACAGGGAGCAGGGTGGGAACACGGCAGGAGCAGGGCAAGGGTGGCAAGGACTTTCCCTGCCAGAGAGGGAGTCCTGCAGAAGACAGGGGCAGACCTGCTGGGGCTGAAGAGAAGATGGAAGTAGCTGGGGGATAACAGCTGAGATCACAGGATTCTGACCCACCTTTCTCCCTGCCCCTCTAAAGAGCCAAGATGTAGCTGCCCTACAGGAAAAAGAAAGGAAGTGGCTGTTTTACCCCCACTTAGACCTGTTCATCTGACTCTTCTCACAGTGTCCTACCTCCTGTTACACTGCTTACTGGGTGAATAACATCTGAGTCTGTTTCTTCATCTACAAAGTGGGTATAATATCTCTACTGTGGAGTTGTTCTGAGTGTTGGGTAAAAGCATACATTTTAAGTCAAGTGGACCTCTGCTTCTGGGAAGATGAAGCAAATGTACTTTTTCCTATTCCTCCAGATAAGTACAACTAAAACCCCTGGAAATGACGTATGTAAAACAAATGTAAGAAGACTGGAAGACTCTGAAAGGTAGAGAGAAGAAGCTAGATCAGCTAGGGACATGGGGACCCAGGGAAGGATAAGTTGTTGAGTTCCCTGGTTTTCTTTCTTGACTCATATATCCCAAACTTGGAGGAGAAAAAGCTGGCAGCCCCAAAATACCAATGGGCACAGATAAAAACAGCTTCCACGCCTGCCCTTTCTAGCCAAAGGACCAGGACAAAGTCAGTCTAGAAAGACAGAAAACCTCTAGACAATAACTGGTCTATTCTAGCCAAACATCATAGAAAAAAAACTATGGCCCCACCACCAACAGCAGTGCTGAGTGGGGAGCCTAGACACCCACCCTCATCAAGCTGCAATGATGCACCCCAACTCCTGCGGGGAGTGAGCTATGCTTCCAGCAAAAAATTGGGTCCCTTAGGTAGAGGTTGTCGCAAAGGATAAGAAAATAATAGAAAATGGAAAATAATAGAAATAAAAGAATACACAGAGACAAAGATATAGTTTTATAGATTTATAAAGATAAAAGGCAAAGCGGGGTTACCTAGGGGTCCTTACGATATCCCCGTGAATTGTAAGGCCATGAGTGAAGTTTTACATGCGTATTTATAGGTACAGATATCAGTTGCCAGGAGTAACAGATTTACATAATAACAGGGAGTTTGTTTTAGGTTAAAAGTCTTTCAAAAAGCTTCTATAGATCCCTTAACTAACTCTGGTTACAAAATCTTTTAAGGACAAACTTCTAAGTTCTAAGATAAAGCTATCATTTAACAGAAGGGTTAAACAGAGATATAGTGGCTCCATATTCCTTTATCTAGTTATTACAAATAGAGACAGGTCATCAGAAGTCAAGCAGGAACTGTCCCTTGGGCTAATTGTTTTTAGCCGCAGGTATCCATCTCTTGGGTGGACACTCTTTGATCAGCTCTCATCCCATGGTTCCATGTAGACCTTGCTTTGTCCTTCAAAGCAGGCAAGAACCATGGGTTTGAGACTGCAGTGTCACCTTGGAAAGCAGCTGCTACTGACCTTTGAGATGCCCACCTGAGGTGGAGCAGCTTTTGATATGCAAACTAACATGTTCACATATTCCTTCAGGGCAAAGCACTGAAAAACTCCTGAGACCATTTCTGTCTCTAATATAGTTATATTAATTTATGGAGCAACAAACTCCGCCACTGGGATGCTGTCAGAGAAGGCCAAAGCTCATTAGCTGGGATTTTTGTCCCTGCCAGGTGGTACTAAAACCCCACCTACAGCATCTGTGAAGACCATCTAGGGAAGTTGGACTTCCTCCTACCTCGCCACAGTAACAAGACACCGTTTCTCTAACTTATTGAGATGGTGTCCGAGAAGGCCTAGTGGGGAGGACTTTCACAGCACCCAGCACCTGCTCCCTGTGGTGCCAGCAGAAGCCACATGGGGAGCAATGACAGGGCACTTCCTACCCTTCCCAGCAAGGGTGTTACCAGCAGAAGCCTAGTGGAGAGCCAGAAGTCCTGCCCCTGCCCAGCATGTCTAGGGGTTCTTTCCTCACTTGGGTATTAAAAATCGATTGCTTGTTACTCCCCGCAATGTGTATGTTGAAACTTTACTCCCTAATGTGATGGTATTAGGAGGTGGAGGTCACTGGGAGATAATCAGTATTACATGATATTATGGGGTAGAGCCCTCATGAATGGGATTAGTGTCTTTATAAGAGTCCCGAAAAAGATTGCTTTTGCTATTCACCTTAGAGGACACAGGACAGCTGTTTACGAACAAGAAAGCAGGCCCTCACCAGATGCTGAATCTGCCGGCACCTTGATCTTATAATATTTCCCGCTCTAGGACTGCGAGAAATAAATTTCTGTTGTTATAAGCCATCCAGTTTATGGTATTTTGTTATAGCAGCTGAAAAAAAAAATAGATGCAAAAATTGAGATGACTGAAGCATTAGAATTTTCTGACCAAGACTTTAAAGTAGCTTTTATAAAAATACTTTGGTGAGCAATTATGAGCAAGTTTCCATCTTGAAACAAATGGAAAAAAAATAGTCTTACCAAAGAAATAGAATGTCTCTACAAAGAAATAGAAGATGTAAAGAAAAACAAAATGAACATTTCAGACCTGAAAAATAAAAGCCAGGCAAGGTGGCTCACACCTGTAATCTCAATGACTCGGGAGGCTGAGGCAGGAGGATTGCTTGAAGCCGGGAATTCAAGGCTGCAGTGAGTAATGATCATGCCATTGCACCTCAGCCTGGGTGTCAGAGCAAGACCCCATCTCTAAAAAAACATAATAAATAAATAAAATATAAATAAAAAGTTCAGTGGATGTGCTCAACAGCAGAATGGAGGGAACAAGAGTCAGTAAGCCTGAAAATAAACAATAGAAATTAGCCAATCTGAACAAGGAGAAAACAGACTGAAAAAGAATGAACAGACCTTCAAAAAATTGTGGGACTATAACAAAAGATTTAACATTCATGTCATTGGCATTCTGGAAGGAGAGGAGAAAGAGGGCATGACTAAAGAAATACTCACAGTAATAGTGACTGAAAACTTCCCAAA